GCTAAGCGTGCGTAGAGTTGTATCGGTGGTCGATAGAACTTGAGGGAATATTTGTTCTACCTTTAGCTCCTCATTGGGTTCGACACTCTTACTTATCGAAGGAGGCTACAATTGATCCCCTATGCTTGTGGGTTATCAGAGCTCATTGTCACGCACCAGACCAAGGTACCGTTTCTGTTGGGAAAATATTTTTGTGAGGTTTTGTGCGACGTGATTCCGGTATTGGTGATTTTGTGTCACTTGTTGTTGGGCGAACCATGGTATAAAGAGAATGATGTTGGATATGATTGCCAAACACACAAATATATTGTCAAGAAGGGTAAGAAGTGTGACCTCCTGCCCATGGGTGAGGATCTTTTCATTGTTTGGAGGAAAGAACACATGGAGAAGATAAAAGAGTGGAAAGACGCAAAGAAAAGGGAGGTCGAAGCTACTGAAATTTTGATGGTCGTTGTTCAGTCTACAACTAAAAATATTATTGAAGAGATCGACTCGAAACTAGGGACGATTTCGTTTCAAGGAGGAGAGGATGATATGACTGCATGTATTTTAACTAAGATGATCGCTGATGATACAACACCTAGTACTGAATATACTAGAGATGTTTTCCAGGATGGAGATATACTAATGAAGATGGGTATTGTTCGGCCTAAAGAAAACTATGGAAAGAAATACAAATCTGGTCTGGTAAAAGGAAAACAAGTGCATTCAGCACTAGCACGTGCATGTCATTGTTTTGGTAATCTCGTTGGACATGCAACCTGGGACTCTAAATTTTATGGAGTAACATATGCATGCAAGGTGTTAAGATATAATAAAAGAGAAAGTATATTTGTTGATTTGTTGGGATCCGTCAAGAAGTTAACTGACAGATATTTATTTCTCTTCCGGCCACGCAAAGAACAGGCTCCTTGCCAAAGAAGTTGTGTACGTGCCCAACTCTCCTTGAAAGAAGTTGGATGGGGTCCACCTGCAATACGGGAGGCACTTTAAGATGGCGTTTAGATAGAGTACATATTTATCTCAGCTAGTAGTACTCCTCCTGAAGTCTTGCCTAGGAATTAGGAAGCACCTCCTGAAGTCTTGCCTAGGAATTAGGAAGCACCTCCTGAAGTCTTGCCTAGGAATTAGGAAGCACCTCCTGAAGTTTGCACGATGTGCAGAATGGTGTGTTGTTGACTTGGAGACTACCTAAAAGTCGTAGTAGCGCATTGGGAAGACAACTATATGGCGGTGGTGCGGAAAGTGTGTGTTGCCAAATGTAGCAAGAAATTACGTTTCTTAACTGAAAACTATGGTTCAGAATTACGTTTCTAAACTGAAAAGTGATTGTTGGTACCTGTATAGTACACTTGGCCGTTTCAGAATCAGTATATCACATAGCTTCCGAAATTTTGACTATCAAATGACCACCAAAAGCAGTACGGAGTGGTTTTTTTCCTCAAAAACAATACTACTAATCGCTGGGCAGCTGCGGCAGTCTCGTGTAAATCGTTGCAAGGGCTAGCGGATTCTTGTTTGAAGAATCTCTGAGATGTAGTACGGCGAAACACACACGCTCCTCTCACCAGAAGTTCAAAAAAGAAAGCTCTGTTTTTCTGCTTCCTTCTCGGACGGGGAGAAGAAAGAAATGAATCTCTCTCCCCCATGGTTGGTCGGCGCAGGCGAAAACAGCGCGACGGCTTGAATGCCCTCACCCCACCTCTCGTACGCGTTCATTTATGGCGCGCAGTCCCGGGCTAGCCGGAAGTAGCCAGTGGCCCGGCGGCCGGCATCCGCGGCGTGCGCGAGGGCAGGCAGGTTTCTGGGACGGCCAGCAATGCCATGCCATGCCATGCCGCGACACAGTGCATGCGCGCGTACTTGCGGGCCGCGGCAGGCGTCTCCGGCCGGTCACGGACGACCAGAGGACGTGCGCCTGCCGTCCTATATGTGGTGTGGCGTACTGTGTACTACGATCGATGCGAATTTATGGCCTGCAAGCTGCCGCTCTGCGCGTGTCGCAGCGGCTCCATTTACTCTTCTCGCTGCGGCGGCCGGCGGGAGAGGCTGCAGAGGTGCGCTGCGCCGTGCATGTGCGCCGGCGTCGGGCCTTGCCTTGGGCTTGGAGGGAGGGGGGTGAACAGTGGAGGTCCCGGAACTAGAAGCTGCAGAATTCTGGCCTTGGTTTGGATGGAGGAGTGAATGCTTTTCCTTCGCCGAGTGTTGCTGCTGTCTGTCTCGTCCTGTAGCTGCTGTGTGCGTAGCCGAATGAGGATGGGGTGCAGTGTAGGGGTGCAGTGTAGATTCGGGGCTTGCCCGTATACAGTAGTAGGAGTACTAGCTGTGGTACAGCGGTGGCGGAGAAGGCTTGCAATTAAACCTCCATCGGTCCAGACTCATGCTAGTAGGATTACTTCTTTTTTTGAATCAATGAAATCGCTACTTTTTTGTAGCTGAACCCATCGCTACCTTGATTCCGCATTTTCAACATAACTGAAGTGTAGTACACATCAATCCTTTCATCTTGCCAAGAATCTTCACTTCTGGGTTTTGCCATGGCACCGGCCAAGATTCAACCCTCCCCTTCCCATTGACCGGTTTGACCCGTTGACCATCCAGTCAGCAAGCCATGCAAATAAAAAAACAAAATATTTCAGAAAAAATCCAGGAAAAATTAAATGGTCTGAAAAATAAAATAAAAATATGTAAAGTAAAAAAAATAAAAATGTAAAATCAATAAAAAAAGTTCCAAAAAACTAAAAATATAATAATTTCCTGCTCAAAATTTGTCAAAATTATAGATTTTCAGAATTTCTTTGAAAAAAACCTGTAAAATCAAGAGAACGATACTAAGCATCTAGAGAAGTTTTTGACTTTTTTTATTTTACAGCTTATTCAGAAATTTGAACTTTTATCCAAAATAATCAGAAAACAGCCCCGGATTTTTTTCCATTTTTTCATAATTTTCCGACAACAACCCCAAACTTTTTTCAATTTTCCAGAATTTTGAAGGGTTTTCGATTTTACACATTTTTTATTTTACAGAATATTATTTTCATTTTTTTATTTTTATGGATTTTTTTACTTTTTTCTAGTTCTTTCTGGAATTTTCAAATTTTTGCTGATGTGGCTTGCTGACTGGATGGTCAACGGGTCAATATGGTGAGGAGGGTTGAATCCTGGCATGTTTTAAGGGTTCGGGTTGTAATTCACACGATATTGAAGTTGAGGGTTGTAAATTAGTTTTGGGTTGAAATATGCACTTATGCACGTTGAAATATAATTTTTTTGATAAAGGGCGCTTTTATTATCTCAAAATGTAGCATCAAGCGGATACAAATCATGATGAGCGACACCCGGCCTCTGCATAGTTAAGATGCACACTGCCATAAAAAGAATCGTTTGACAAAGTGTGTAATATAAACCTGACAATTCGGCAACGGTAAAGTCATATGAGACCAAAACTATGCCTATGTCGATGAAGGAGGTGGACCGATCTGAAGATTATACTGCCGCCCATGTTGGGTAAAAACCTCTTTGGCCACCCACTCCAACCGCATACACACCATCTTGAATAGTGACTGGTACTTCGTTCGATGCAGCGTAGACCATATACGAAGGCAATACGTACAACGGTAGATAACCTGCATAGGAGAGGAGATTTTGCCATTAAAAACACAATCATTTCTACATAGCCAAAGCGACTATAGTAAGGCAGACTCTCCCACCCGAATTAGCGTACTAATCGTATTTGGTATTCCGTCAAGCCAGTGACCATATATATTGGCAACACTTGTCGGCGGATACAAATTGGACGCTATTTGAATGACGGACCATGTAGAACGCGCAAACTTGCATTGAAAGAAGAGGTGTTTGATTGTTTCGTCGTGAGTACAAAAACTACACTTCTTGCTTCCTTGCCAGTTGCGTCTAGCAAGATTGTCTTTAGTTAGCACAACTCCTCTTCAAAGATACCACATGAAAATCTTAACTTTTAGTGGCATCTTCGATTTCCATATTAATTTATTATTGTCCACTGGAATCTCTAAGTGCAATAGTGCATGATACATAGAGTCAACAGTGAAAGACCCTGATGTAGTTAGTTTCCAGCAAAACACATCCCGCCCTTATGTCAAATTAATCAAATCTAAACGGAATAGTAGATGTTGCCATGACACAAGCCAGGGGCCAATCAAATCCCTTCGAAATGATACATTATGTGGGGAAGAGCTGCGAACGTGTGCAAGAGTATCATTCTTATCACGTACTATGCGGTACAAGGTTGGATATTGTTCCCAAAGAGTGGCGTTTCCTAGCTACTTGTTCTCCCAAAAAAGTATCTTAGAGCCGTCCTTTATCGCAAAGGATCCGAAGCAAAAAAGATGTTTCTTTACCGTCATCATGTCAGCCCAAAAATGCAAATCACCAGGCTTCCAATATGCCTGGGATATCGGCGCAATAGAGTTTGCCAAACACCATTCTCAATAAGTAGTTTGAATAGCCATTTACTAAGTAAGACATCATTTATGACCTGGAGGTCCCGAATACCTAAACCTCCCTGATCTTTTGGTCGACAAAATACCTAAACCTCCCTAGTCTTTTGGTCGACAAACCACGCTCCATTTGGTTAGCCGCCAAAACCTACTATACGGAGGCTAATTTAGATACTCCAATACTCAAAAGAACATACATTGCGATAATTGTCTCTAAATATCTACTATGTCTCATGATACCGTGCTAAGAAAATGTGCGTTGAGAGTGGCCGCATAAACGATGAGATCACACCATAAAACCATGATTCTCATCGCGCTTATTACATCAACCTCGTGTCGTGTCATCGTGTGTGCTGTCTGCAGCTCCATATCAAGCCATACATAGCAAATAGCTATACAAATGCTGGTGGCAAGTTCATTTGTTCCTTTCTACTAATACTCCGTATAAGTTTATTGTTGCCCTTGCAACTTGCACGTGCTTGCAGTATGTACAATACCGGCCCTGAGCCCTGATACACCAAGTCCTCATGCGGATTTGGCGAACCCAATCCTGCTCTCGCCGAAGTCGAAAACGGTGTGATAGGCGCCCATGAAGACGTCTCCAAGTATCCTGCGATTCCACAACACGAAACGTCGATCAAACGGACCGCAAGGGGAAAACAAGCAAGTGATGGTGAAGACTGAAGAGCGAAGACTGAAGACTGAAGACTGTTAGGGCGCATACCAGAGCGGGCCACGAGGGGGCGGCACGTCGAACGCCATGAACCCACTGATGCAAATGGCCTGGCCTGATTGCTCCAGCTTCACTACGTACTGCAGCACAAAGGAGAAACATTTTTAGACTGCATATATGTAGCAAGTAGAGTGTGAAGAGTGACTAAGGCAAGTAGGAAGCACAGCAGTTGCTATAAATAAAACCAACATCGTTCAGATTGGGCATGGACTATCTTAACTGAAGGTATGACCAAGTACAACTTAGGGAGCACCTCACCTGCTCTGGCGTCAAGGTGAAAGTCTTGTTTGCTATGGTGAAAGCAAGATCAGGCATCTCTGAGATCTGGTGGCAGTCGACGGTTGATTCCCCGTTGGGGCTCGGAAGACGCTCACAGAGCTGCAGTTCACATTGGAATCAGACTGTCATCACACGCTTCACCCACTTGACATTCAGAAAATACTGGCATGGGCGTTACCGGTAGTACTGACCCGATTCGCATAATCCAAGATGAGCTCTTTCGTTTGGTTTTTTCGGAGCTGATTCTGTATCCAGACAACAGTCATCTCACAAGCAGTGCAGAGAAGATCAGAGCCTCGCTTCTCGTTCTTATTAACAACAGATTCTATTTGGTTACTGCATAGTCATTCATGAAAATAAAGTCTGTTTTAAAAACATTAAAATACACATGCAAGTAAAATGGCAAATACGACTTGATGTGGATGTTGAGCTGACCTGACAGAGTGACTACCATCAAATACACAGAGACCAATCTGACTGCACACTTTCTGTGGCCTTGTCTGCTCAGTGACAACTTAGTATTAGTATTCTTGTAATTGGTTAGAGAATTCAAGATCGATGTAAGTAATAACAACAATCCTATTGCCAAGATAACAGTGGAGGGCAAGTGTAGCAACTGACAAACCTGTGCTACAAGCAACTCGAGGATCATCTCTCCATACTCTCTCACTACTTCCTTGCATTCCGTACTGATAATCCCCTCAGCCCCAATTGCATGATTGACTTGAGCCACTATGGTCTGAGAGCAGTATAAAATACAAATGTATAACAGTATAAGGATGTCTCAGTTATATACCATAGTTTGTCCAAGTGCGCATTCTACCAATTATGGTATGATCCAAGCAAGAACAACATACCGTTGGGCCAGCGAGCAGTGAGGTCCCTGAGTCGACAATTGCAGCGCAACCACCGGCACAGAAGCCAGTTGACTCGCCACCAATGAGAAGATCACCCATGTCAAACTGCCAGTAGCCTTTGCGAGTGACTGGAACGTATGTGTGTTTCCCCTTGTAGTGCTTTTTGTCCACACCCCCGAACACGAGTTCACCTCCCACGGATGCATCGGGATCACGGTTAAGCCAGAAGGAGAAGATGTCCTTCTCTATCAGCTTCTGCTCTTGCATGCTCTGCCTGTTTGTTCATGCAACACATGAAAGAGAGTATTCAGGCAACAGCATTGCTGAGATTATGACATCATGATAATCTGTTCAGAGGTCTGAATATGTACCAAATTGGAGGGGCACTTCCCACGGAGATCTCTGGAAATCCAAGCCCAAGTATACCATCAAACTTCCCAATGATAAAAGTAGGACTTGCTTCACGGGTTGTCTCGATGAATTTCTGAAAGACAGTAAAAGTACAGCATTGGTTGGTACTCCTGCATACAAATATTGCACTGAGTTACTTACTAGTAAAGAATTTCACCTGATTTTTCACAACAAGCTCGCCAACTAACACGCTGTCCTCACTGAAGAAGCCAGCAATTGACCCAGAGCCATAGCTAATTGTGCAAGTTTCTCCTGGACAGTTTCAACAACCAGGAATATGCATGAGTGTGCAAGAAGTCAAGAACCATTTTCTGGTTGAGTACTCTTTCTGGTTTGCAAAAGCAAGGAACCAAACTGAACAGAAGATAAGCATATTATGCGTGTCCGGCATACCGTTCTTCTTGTAAGTGGTCGATTTGGTTGACTTGTATTTGTGGTGCAAGTAGCACGCTATCTGAATGAACATAGACACCAATGCATCAAACTTATGTTCCATAACTCAAAACATGCTTAAAGTACCCATTATCAAGAAACTCAAAGCATGGTAAGTACCACATGTCTGTCAGGCACCGAACTTACCGAAAAGTAGCATTTTGACGACGGAACCCACAAGTTTGAGCTCCCAGTATCAAAAATAACCGTGAAGTTCTGCGGCGGCGTGCCGACGCCAATCTCTCCGAAGTACTGGGTGTCGAGGTAGTTGTCCAGAGGAACTGTGTCGTCCCCTGACAGGCCGGGAGAGTGGCGAGATCCATCGCCGGACCTCAGCAGGTTGGTCTCCTGCCTAGCCGATTTTGCCGCTGCTAGGGTTTCCTTGTCCAGCCTCTTCTTGCTCAGGTTGATCCTCAGCAACCCATCGGAGCAAGCGCCGCCGAGCAGCAAGGCGCATGAGAGGATCCATAAGCAGGTGACCCCCAAGAGATGCATCGGCCTCATGGCCCCGGAAGCCGGAACTCTCTGGGCAAAATAATCCCCACCTGCGAATCCAATAATATAGCTTATTTGCTGAAAGATTTACAGCATCTCGAAGCAAGAACTTGGTATCTCATGACAAGAAATCAATGGTAGGTTTGGATGGATTCTCGTATCCATTTGTCCGGTATTAACGGAGTCACCAAATCGAATATACCTAGGGGTCTTAATTAGCACATCGAATACTACTACTTCTCTGGACAAAATTATTAGGAACTTCAAAACGGATCATAGTAACTCGAATATCTGAGCCTTGGAGTGATTAAGCTCTAGCTATGCTATTGGACTCATCGTACCTTGCTGATGCGAGCGAGCTTCCCAAACCAGAGGCCACCAGAGAAAAGAGTGAGGAAAAACTCGAAGGGAAAAAGAGTGGGAGATAAATAAGACACGCCAATCAGAAGAAGGTACTTTACTAGTTGGTTGGCACGGAGTCTATAAAGCAAACGCACGAATAATTGTAGGAAGGGCGCTACTAGGCGCCGGTGCGCCGGCCAGGATTTGGGCCGGTCGTACGTACGCCGTACGATTAGCCTGTTTTAAACCGCTCGATCTGTAACTTCTCCACCCCGCTTCGTAAGAAGATAAAGAGGGAAAAATGCATCGTTGACTCTGCCACCATCCCGTCTCCCACAGCCCGCGTTGCTCGTGGCTCGCCGCACATCTGCCATAGCCTGCACCGCCGATGGCTCGCGGTGGCCGCCGGTCGCCGCCCTCGCCGCCGGTCGCCGGCTTCCTCATCGTCGTCTCATGTCTTCCTCGTTGGATACACGCATGCAGCAACCTTCCTTGGGGATGCAGCTCCCTCACTGCCGATGGCAGCACCGGTGGGATGGCCGTAGCGCCGGTCGCCGGTCGCAACACCCCGAGGATGAGCTCACGAAAAAGCACTCTCCTTCAGGTTTTCTGATGGCAACAAAAATGTCCACCGGTAGTAGCAAAAAATTGTGTTGTTTCCAACAAAAAAAGCTCGTCGGTGCCGCCACCCGTCATCATTGTAGCAAAATTTATTGCCGGTTGTAGCTTTGTGATTGTAGGTTGTAGCAAAAATGAGAAGAGGTTCTAGTACAAAATTAAATGTAGCAAAAATCCTCGCGGCGACGGCACCACCATCCTCTTGAATTGCAGCAAAATTAAAAAACAGTTCCAGCAAAAATCTTAAGAGGTTCTAGCAAAAAAAGCATGGCAGGCACCGCCATCGCCACCAAACAACCATCTTCGCCAACTGCAGCAAAGTCAAATGATGGTTCCAGCAAAAAACAAAAATGGTTCCAAGGTTTATGTAGCAAAAAAATCATGGCAGCAACACAACATCATCTCTCTCAGTTTGTAGCAAAAACGAAAGAAGATTCCAGCAAAAAAAAGAAGTGGTTCCAGCAAAAAAATTTGATGCAGCAAAAAAAACCATGGTAGCCACCGCCGTTGCCGCCCACCACCATCGTTAGCGGCGAATCCCCCAGCCGGTCCCGAGCACCGCACCTCATCGATGCCGCACGCAACGACGCCCCACCCTCCTCTTTGCGCGCGCGGTGGTGGGGCCTCCCAAAATAGCGCCTATTTGCGGGGATGCTGCTGCGGGATGGACGGCGGGCAGGCTGGCGTGGGATCAATAGCGGCCATCACCGGCAAGAACTGTTCTGAAGGCTGCCGCAGGGGAACAAGAGGTGGGGAGATAAAAGGAAAGAACAGCGGCGAATGAATGGATAGGAGCGATCGTGGGGATAAGGGAAATATTTAAGCGGTGTTGTGTGGCCCCATTGCCAGCGTGGACGCGTCCGGCCGAGCGTTCGGCCGGCGCACCGGCTCTAAACATTTACCTTGTAGGAATCTGATAACGCCTTGACGTCGGTTAGTAGCACATGGCAAATCAAACATTTTCGATAACAAATTTAGTGAAGCAAAGATGGTAACTTTAGCTTGTAAATATGAAAGCCTCGTGCTTCAGTTTTTTTTAACACAGTAAAGACGCAAGCGCTCATATAAACGCGCATACACTCACCCTTATGAAGGCATACACGCATACCCTATCCCTATGAGCACCTCCGAGAGACTGAGCTGGCATATCATCACCAGGATTTGAACCCTGGTGGATTGGGGATACCAGGGTCCACCTAACCATCTCAACCAGAGGTTGGTTTGCGCTTCAGTTTAATTTTTGATATAAATTGCCGTGTGCCAACTAACTTGTCATCCTTGCATCACTAGAATTGCCATTGAAAATCTTCGATTTGTCATGTGCTCGTACCTGACATCAGGTACTTATTATTTCTCCTACAAAAGATGTTGGAGTATCGCTTTCTGGGGCATCCTCGCTTGAAATTGTCTTTCGCGTCGTCTGTTCCACGGGCTTTCACCGATGCCTTTTATCGAGGGTCACCCGCCCACGTGCGCCGTCGTACGCGCTCGTCCGCAGGCACCAGATGTGTGGCTGGGTCGGTCTGTCAGTGTTATTTGCTTCCTGGCCATCTGGCCAGGGGGCACGACGGCAAGCCAAACCGGCCATGATGGCCATCCGACCAGAGGTTGCGACGGAAAGAGGACGGGTAGTCATGAGGGCCATCCGGCCAGGGGTCACGATGGCAAGCCAGTCGGCCAGGGGTCACAACAGCAAGAAGCCAGGTGGTCATCGCCCCACTACATTCGAATACGGCTTTTGAGAGACGTGACTGTCGTATCCGGTCAGTGAGAGATACCCCGACATAGTTCGACCCAGCGTTGGCTCGATCTATGGTGCCTCGACATTTCACGGATCCGGGCCGCTGAGGCTTCCTTTGGTCGGGAAGGGTGTTTGCTTTGTGCTAATCGGGGTCCCCAGCTCAGCCAATTTTCGGTGTTCCTATAAGTTCCTATAAGTTCGGTGTCCGGCTGGAATGAGCAAAGGGCTCGACCACGTATCCGTCATCTCCCTTCTCGCACGGGTGTACAACCTACCCTATTCTCCGGCCTCAAGAAGTGTGGTGTTCATCGTCGGTCGGTGTACCATCTTTGTTTTGGGTGGGTAACCCCTTTGCTCCATTGTTTGTGCTCGTGTTCTCTTCCATTTGGCGTCGTTTTCCTTTCATTGTGGCACTGCAAGACACAAGACTCTGTGATGGGTACCGAGCAATGAAAGTTGTTGTTGTTTTCACCGTTTGTTTTTATTGCCAAGGAATATATCCACTCGGACTTATGGCGGTCATCCTGCTCGATCCAGTATAAATACTCGCACTCTCTCTCCTGGAACTCTCTCTCATCGAGGTCCTCTTTGGTTTCGCCGGGGAAAGGGTCGTCACATGGTCTCCGAGGGTGATTATGGCAGCGAGTTTTGATGGTGGCGATGTTTTAGGCCGTGCCACATTTGCCGCCGACGTCGAGTCCGATGGGTTTTATATATATGTGCGAAGCATAAAGGTGATGGGTTTAGGCTCTCGGGTTGCGTTGACTCTAATGGTATGAACCGGAACGGTGGCGGGTTTTGGCCTCGGGATTGTATTTGCTCTAATGCTATGGGTGCCAGTTTGTTGGTTCACCCTGTCATGATGGCTGCTCATGGAGAATTGAATTGGCCGAGCGTTAACGTTCATGTGGCTCATCAGTTGAAAAGAGGCGAGTCATGTCAGCTTGCCCTCGACGTTGGTTACTGTCCGTTCACGTCCTAAATTTGGTGTGGGCGGCGATAAAGGGATGGTCAATGTGGGTCCTGCCAGCTCGTAGCAATTCAAGATGTCAGATTGATTTTCTCTCAGTTATTTTCTGGGAATTGAGGTTGATCAAACTAATGATGGTTACTATCTCTCTCAGCATCGTTATACTCAGGATTTGATCTCACGCTCAATGCTCACGGCTGATAAAGTCATCGTTGTTGTTTTCCCTAGCTGGGTTAGGGCATGTACAATGGTTGATAAAATAGTCTTATCTTAAGTCTTGCATGTAATTTAAAGATGACAAAAAAGATGTCTACAATGGGTCATTTCTTAGCCTTATCTTCAATAACTAGCTATTCCTAGAAACATGGTGAGACATATTGTGCTAAGAGATCATCTCTTGTCTTCTCTTAAATAAGAGAAGACAGACCTTTTCTTATGAGTTCTTTCTCCTCCACCTTATTTTTTATTCTATACGGCACTCCTAAGATAGCACCATTGTACATGCCTTTAGGGCCTGACAAACTTAGTATGATCGTGCCAGTGCAGACCTGTTGTGTCACGTCCCATGGTCTACCACATCCACATGGAGGTGCACATTTCAGCAGGCGCCTTGGTCGTTGAGCCGCTAGGCATTTGACTATCAAAACGGCATGTGACTAGAGAGTTGTAGTTGCCGGGTAAATTGGCCATTCCTGGTGTTGGTTAGGTTGGTTCCTGGGCGACGCAGGTGACGATGTCTCGGCTAGAGGGTTTCCCACCATGTCGCCTTCCGGCCTGGTGGGCCGGGCTAAGGACCCCTATGGTGGTTTAGGAGTGGGCCACACTAGACGGGCCATGGCGTATCAATGGAAGGGTCCGCGATATTTACCATGTACTCCAAGAAGCTAGATTCAGCGAAGACATTGTTTCCTAATACATAACCGACTAGGATGATGTAACCCTAGACCCTCCGGTACCTATATAAATCAAGGGGTAGGGCTCGTAGAACGGCAATAACAATCATAGGGTACATCATATGTACTTTGTACTCCAACCCAAAGCACTAAACACAAGCAGACATAGGGTATTGTCTCTTCGAAGAGCCCGAACCTGGGAAAATCATGAGCACTTGTTACCATCGCATCTAGATGCTTAGTTCGAGATCGCCTACCTGAGATCTGTCGGATTTAACTCTGTCATTGGTGGCCCATGCAGGTCCCGTCTAAGCAATCCCCGTGATACGATGAGGTGCAAGATCAACGATCAGATCGGTACCTACACTACACACAAATCTTTGTATTCGGCAATATCACCCTCTTCGCTGACCCAATCGACCATCTAGGCCAGGTCGAGACTTTCGCTCCTGGTCGGGTCATTAGATTCACTGATTCGGTAGCATCAAGTACACTGCGGATTCCCGGGGGCAGCTGGTCTCACAATCTCGGTGTTAAACCAGATTGAGGACATATTTAGTTTTTCTTCTTATTATTTTTCTTTGTTATATTTCATTTTTGTTTGGTTTCTTTTTGTTTCTTTCTTGGCTTTCATTGTTTTTTCCTCTTTCTCATTGTTTCTTTGGTTTATTTGGGTTTCACTATTTTCCATTCATTTGCACTTGGTTCTTCGGTTTCCTTTTTAATTATCTTTTTCTTTGGCCTCCTTTGTTTCTTTTTCGATTTTCATTGGTTTTTTTCGTTTTTCTTCGTTTCTTTTTATTTTCATTCTACATTTCGTCAAGAACATTTTTTTAAATACATGTTTAACATTTTTTCATAAACATCACTATCATTTTTTTTAAATAAATATTTTGATGTCTATTGTTTTCATACACATTGTATATTTATTATCTATTTTAAACATCTTTTAGTACTTACTTAACATTATATATATATGATTAACATTTTTAAAATATATTTTTGATGTCTATTTTTTTCATACACTTCATACATTTTTTTATACAACCAATACATTTTTAACATTTTATATATGCATCTTTAACACTTTCTAGATACATGACTAATATTTTTAAAAACATACACTTCTCTATATCTATTTTTCCCATACACATTTTGTAATTTTTATATACATCCAACATATTTCTTATATACATGTTTAACATTTTCCAAAAATGAATTACGTTTTTGAATATTTTTTATGTTTGCTTTTTCCGTACACATAGTACATTTTTTGTATACATTGGAACATTTTTTCTATGCCTATTTAACATTTTTCATATACATGATTAACATTTTAGAAAGTATAATAAACAAAAGTAAAGAAAACAGTGGGAAAAAAAGAGCGCTTTTGGGCCGGCCCAATCTGGCGCTCGCTTCAGGAGGCCGAGGCAGCCATTCGCGGGCCCGTAAACCCACTCCATTCGAGTAAAGAAAAAAGTAAAGAAAACATTCTGCCTTTTGTTCCAGCGCTACATTTCTCGGGGTGGTTCCGGCTCGGGCCGAATTCGCGGGCCCGTAAACCCGCTCCATTCGAAATTGGACTTTTCGTACCTCTAACTAGTACTGCACCATACGCATTGCAAAGCCATCGCGAGTCCCTCCCTACCCTCTACACTCTGCGCCGCCGCCGCACGCGGTAGATCGGTTTCTCCAAAGCTTCACCTCTCCACGGTGAGCACCGCACCCGAGATCAATCTCATGTCGCTCCCTAGATTAGATTCGATCGTATCGAATTGAATTGGTTTTGATTGGATTGCGCCGGAGTGAATTTAGCTGCAGATTGGATTCGTCTCGCTGATGCATTTCCTCTGCTCTGTTCTTAGTTTGGTAGGGCGCTGGCGCGGCTGTGCTGCGGCCTCTCGGCCCGGGACGACGTTGCAGATGGAAGGGAAGGACGCCACGCTCGCCCTGCCGGAGCTGCTGAAGGAGGAGGTGCAGTCGCCGCCGCTGTCACCGCTGTCGCCGCGCAGCAGCGACGACGATGAGACCGAGGCTGATGACAGCGACGGCGAGGAAGAGGAAGGCGGGGCTCCTGTTGGGACCGGCGGTACCGTAGTCAGCGGGCCTCCGATGATGAAGGGGCCGTGGACGTCCGATGAGGACCAGCGCCTGAGGACCTACGTGGAGGCGCATGGCGAGGGCAACTGGAACCAGGTCCAGAGGAACGCCGGGCTGAACCGGTGCGGCAAGAGCTGCCGCCTTCGCTGGGCGAACCACCTCAGGCCCAACCTCAAGAAGGGTCCCTTCTCCAAGGAGGAGGAGCAGAAGATTATCGAGCTTCATGCGCTGCACGGGAACAAGTGGGCTAAGATGGCGTCCGTTGTAAGTTTGCTCGCTCTGCTCTTAGACAGTGGGAGTAACTTCAGCAATAACATCGAGTCCAACTTAACAAATTTGATTATGTGGCAATGAGTTAATGAAGAGAGAGGTAGTTATAGTAACTTAACTAGTTACTGTAACATCACATGTTCCAATGCAATATGAGTCTATAACCTAATAAATGAATCTTTGCATGTTATCACACTTAAGTTACTACCCACTATGAAGATAGTAATATAGTCTAGAAATATGTGTATGTTACTAGTGTATGTTACTATCCATTGTGTCTTGTCTTACATGCTTCTAGATCGATCGGGCAGTCACTTCATTTATTGCTCTTCTCTTGTTAGTTTAGATTTGTGATGATTTGCTTCGGTTGATTGGCTTGGGGGAACACTGCTCTTGGTCAAACAGTTTGCCTAGTTGTATAGAATTTATTTCATTTTCTCCTAATAGATACCCCCATCCGTACAAAAATATAAAACGGTTTTGCAGTTCAAATTGAACTGCAAAAATATTTTATATTTTGGTACAGAGGTAGTATTTTTGAGAGAAATTTTGCGGCTGACGGGAAGTAAGTAAGAAAGTGGTTATTGAACTGAGGTGACGGTATGTGCTATGCTAATCCATGCGATTGTGTTACCAAGGCGTAGTGATTCGTTGTTGAATCAGCCTGGTTTGCTAACTCGTCCTTGACCTATGTCAAGATGTCAGCAACTTTTATTTATGGCCTACTGTGAGGATATTGATGGAAGGGGTCGACGACACTTATATATAGTAACACGTAAGATTACCTCGGATGAAGAATAACACTTATTCTGCACCCTGAATGATGAATAGTAACATTATATATATATATATATATATATATATATATATATATATATATATATATATATATATATATATATGTATGTATGTATGTATGATTCTTTGTTTGACAGTTCTAAGAGCATTCTCTCTTATTTGTTATTTCTGTCTCTACTCTTAGTATATAGTCATGTTTTACTTTGCCTGTACATTTAGTTAGCAAGTATGAAATTATTATTTTCTATATTACTGTTAATAATAGAATATAATTTGGTGATCAGATGACATTCCTTAAAGATGTGAATTTTTTAACTATTTGGTTTTGCCTCTTATCGAGTGGGTTTCTTGCCTATAGGTACGTCATGTGCATTGTCATTTGTCACCAACAATTATGCCATATTTGTTTATTTAGTGTTTTGTCTATATTTTTCAGTATGTGTACATTGCCATGCATTGTTTAATTTCCCTTAATGTTATTTTAATATTTTTACTATACCAATTTCGGAAATTAGAATATCTTGTCATGACACATATACTTTTTGTTTGAGTAACTATCTTTGGACTACTTAACTCATATACACAATTGTATATTAATTATTATTATTATTTCAGTTAGAAGGCCGCACGGATAATGAAATTAAGAATTTTTGGAACACAAGAATAAAGAGGCTCCAGAAAGCTGGTCTAGGCCTTTATCCAGATGGTTTATTATCTCGGTTGGCAAATCAAGAGATGGGTTCTCATAGTCCTGATGATTCACGTGGGAAGAAACGGCAAAATGAACTCTCACAGGGAATTGGTCTTGAATTTGATGATATTATATTTGAGAAATTAGACTATAAAAAGCAGTCAGACAATTTCCTTACACCAAATTTTACAATTCAAGATTCCCTTCCAATGAATGACATTAACTACCCTTTGAAGCGGCATGCATCTTCTGGCATAGTATCAGACTACGGTGGCAGTCCTAAGTGTGGACAATTTTCTAATGAGACTGAGGAGGCTTCTTACAATGATCTCAACTCCGAAATGTCAATTGTTTCTTTTAATAATGTCATTTCCAATAGCATGCCATTATTAGATGACAATTTCCCTATTTCCGGGAAGATATTGCCCATTAAAATGGAGCTCCCTTCATTCCAATATGTCGGTTATGATACAAGCACCAACTTGTTGTGTCCTTCATCAACTCTTCCTGAACAGGTTGACAATACTATTTTATTTTTCAGTAATCGTTGTGATAAAAAAAAATTCACTTCTCAAAACACTGATCCGCTTTTGTTCAGGTACATGGATTTGGGGTCCCTACCCAGTTCGAAGGAGAGTTTGACTCAGTGTCATTTCCATATGGTTACCATTTTATTCCGCCCTCTTCAATCTTTGATGACAATACCCTTGAGTACAGTTCTTTTAATGAACTTAGAACCTACAAATCACCTACTGGTAAGTTTGCTTAATTTTACTTCAATTTTACAGTATCAAACACAACATAGCCTATTTTTAAGTTCGCTTAATATTTTTTGATGTATCAGTATTAGATAAAACTTAATTTATTTTAAAGGTTGTTTAATCTTATTTCAATGTACCAGTGTATGATAAAACATAACTTCTTGTTGGTTTTGCAGACTTGGATGCTATTTTCATGGACAACAAACATAATGCAGATATATTACATGATAAATATTTTTGCTCAGATCCTTGCGCGACAGATGTGTCAGCAGAAGCAAGATTTTTGAATGAAGATTCAACACACTCAGAGTATCAAACCAACAATGGTCCACTTAATGCATTACTTTATGGAAATTTTTGTAATGATGTTACATTATCAGTCAGGGATGATGGCCATCAGACTCTGCTTTCCAGTAATGGCGTACCCAATACACACCACTTGCCTGGATATTAATATGTAAGAACAAAATTCATAGTGTCTCCTAATTTTCTTTCAAGTAATTAAGTTAAATCTTTATAATAATCATTGTTTTTTAGGATGACGATGGCAAATATTAAACTCTACAGCAATCATCATTTTCAGGACAACATCTGGGACATGACGACGATGATGACTTCAGTTTATGCAGTCCTAGTCTCCCGATTTTATCCCGAGAAGCATTATTCATGAAGCAAAATTACATTTGATTTTTTTTTTGTCGTTGAATTGAGAATGTTTTATGTGAACCCATTCCATTCATTCATATTGTGAAAGAATTTTATATTCAATATATTGAGTTGCTCCTTAGTGTTAATTGATTGCTTTTGTCCTATCATATTACGAAAATGAAAAATGGTTCCATCTCTGAACTGTATTATCAAATATCATTATATGATATCAACAAATTTCAACCATGAAATTTCTCTTTGCTGTGTTTTGTCATTGGAACAATCACAAGACAAGATCTGTTGTTTTATGGTATTTTTAGTTACATGAGACATGCAAACTTCTTTCAGTTTGACTTTCTTATTTTTATTCAGATAAATGACATCAACTTATTACTATTCTATAAAAAAGCAGTAATAAATTACAATTGATTTAAGATAATAATACTGTATGTTCAAGGTCCCGGTACATAATTGAGCTCACCAAATATACACTTTTGCCAACTTAGAGCTCACTGAGCTCTTGACAATCTATATAATCTCATAACGTGACTTGAAACAAATGTTCTTTTCCCTGTCTAACCGTATAGTCCTTCTTGCTCCCACACGTCCACAAGCAAGTCTACCATTTCCTGTAAATAAAATTATAATTTTAAAATAAGTATGAGAAAGAACATTACAAAACAGAGGGAAATCTGTGCTTTATTTAGCATAGGATTTTACCGCAAGAGGAATTGGTTGGTAGAATAGTTTATTGCTTCCTAGCAGGCTCTCGTACGTTGTGTTCCAACTGTATCATCAACAGAAATATCAAAGGTGGAGAATATAGAGTTTAACTTTCACCATACTGAAACAAAGTACCCTAGTTCCATATGCAAAAGGAAATTGGGAAATGTAAGAATATATGATATTTGGATTCTTTTGGTTCAAAGACCATAAAAATAAGATATTTCATGTATTTCAGGTACAACAGTAAATTACAATATCTCACCTTATCTTTGGTTCTTGGGTCTTTTCAAGTCGAGATTTGCATTTTTTGTTTCCAACCCACTGTTGTCTAGTCTGGTTCCACTGCACAAGACCTTTAAATACAGGCAGAATAAAAGTTTACATAAGATTAACAAAATAGTAAATGGCATCTCAATCTGGTGACACGTGAACATGCTACAGAAGTGCTGAGCCTGATAATTAGAATTTTTCAATAACTTGCATCACCGTGTCACGATGCAAAGAACAAAAGAAAGATAGAATAAGACAGCAGAGGCTTTTGTTAGTTCAGATGCAGGATCATCTCATGCCAACTATTCTTGACCATAATTTAAACATTAACATCAACTAAATTCTGAGTGTTTCAATCAGAACTATTAGTTGTCGCAGAGACGTTAGAAGCCCCAGTGTGCAGAAGTAAATGCAAGCATGGTTTTGCACACAAGTCCAAAACTACGGCTGCTACAAACTCTGAATGAAAGTCATTTCATGTTCTAATTAAACCTGCATATAAGGACATGGATGACAGAGCTCCAATAATCAGTTGTGCACTTGCATTTATTTGACAGTAAATCACACTAGTACGATGGAATGAAAAAATAGAAAGGAAATGGAACAGATGCCATGGGACACAGACTGATCTTAGGTGCATGCCGTATACCTTGATTTACAAACTCGTTTGGGTTGCTGCTACTTCCAGCTCCATGCTGGTCGCTGGATTGCGGCGCTGTACAGATTGAAGACATGCTCCTCTGCGATTGTAGCGCGCTGTTTCCAATCCCGTGTGCACTCGTGCTCCAGAAGCCCTCGGACAAGTTTGTCTTCCTTATGGAGCGGCCTTGGATCCTCAAACCTTTTGAAGGCTCATCGACCGCTGTTATCGGAGCAGGCTTAGCACAGCCACAGCATCCAAGGCAACTTCTGCTCTGTAGCAAAACAGTATTGACCAGTGGACGATTAGCTTCACGTATTCGAGAGTCTGAGACAAGTCATGTGGCATAACAACCAGCGAAAAGCTATAAAGTAACGAGTATATGCTTCTTGACAGCTTTTGACATCGGACTGCACAACAACCATCATTCCATGGGCTCAGAAAATCATAAGACAGAGCATTTTGGTACAAGATTACAAAGGTTAGTTTCAAGGTCAGGCAAAAAGTGTGTCTCTTATACCAAAAATAAGCCATGGACATTAAACAAGAATCAGGTACCATCACATGGAGCACCTCCTACTATGGGAACGATGGATTCAAGGACCGCCTGGCCTCCGCAAAGCGGCACCGGCATCTAAATGTTTATAGAGCGCGCGAACCGTGTCTATTTATGCGCAAGCAGCAAGAATCAGAACCGGGAAACAGCATGGCGGTTGCACATGGAACCGGGGACAAAAAGGGGAGAACCTCGCATCCACTAATCCTATTGGCTCCAGGTGGGAGCACAGCGCGAGCCCTAATCCCTAAACCCGATCGAGCTCGCTTCCGTCGCATCAGGTTACGGCAAGTACGGACGAAATGGGGGGAGAGTGAGGGAAGACACGCACCCCATGCAGGCGACGAGGCGGCGCACCCAGGAGGAGAGGGACCTGCAGCCTAGCAGCATAGCATCCGAGGCGGTGAGGTCCTGCGCGCCCGTGGTCGTCCCGGCGGTGGAGGGCGGGAGCAAACCCTAGGCCCCAGCGAGGCGCACGGGTGGAGGAGGAGGGGAGGAGGAGGAGGAAGGGGGAGGTTGCGGGGGCGAGGAGTTGGGGAAGAAGGAATCGGGAATGGGATTCCGTGGTGGGCTGGGATTGGAGAAACAGGGGAATACAAATCGAGGATTCAAGAGCAAACGTTGCTTGGATTTTCTTAAATGAATACGTAAATACCAGTGGTCCGAAATGGTTGTTTTTGCAGTAAATTACAGAGTTATTGGATATCATCACCGTTCTTTTATCTTTATTTACTACGTGTATTTTTTTGAAAGGATTAGATCTATTATAAAATTTCACTGAAAGTACAAAGCATCTTAAAAATAATAAAAATTACATCAAGATTCTGAAACCACCGAACAACCACTACTGCGTCAGAACGAGCCGCCGACGCACAGCTGTCACCGCTCCCCTATGGGAGGCCCGCTTGACCTTGTCGATGATAGTCGAGAAATCTTCGTGCACGTGCTCTTAAGGACCAGCATTTTGGAGCACAGGTGTCGCCTTTGAACTCTTGCACAGAATCGAAGCACCTAATACCAAAGACGAGAAACGCTAACCTCTCCACCCCAAGGAATCTATGTCGGAGCTCTGGCGACTACGTCCGAGCGGACGAACCCGAGGAGGATAGAAGCCCAAGAAGACAAACTCAAAGAAGGAATGCCGCCATCTGTCCGAGTGTCGGACCCGCAGGACTAAAAAAGCCTAACCTAAACTACTAACCAGACCGAAGGCACCGGGATTTCCCTCCTCGCACCGGGCGCCGGAGCGGCAAGCAGAGTGGAGGCAAATTTACAAGCTCGCCGATGAAGTTTGGAGGGAAAATTTTGCCCTAGCCACCTATGGTTAGGGAAGGAAATGAGAGTGTAGTTTCATAAATAGTGAGTGGTAACAGTAAAAAAATATCCAACTGACTGATCCAGTGGTCATCTCTTCATGAAAGTGGAAGAGGGCATGGGTGTACCTTGAGTTCTGATGTACATATGGAATTTTCCATCCGATCCTCATACAACACATCAGATCAAACCATTTATGCATGTAGCCAAAGTGCAAGAGCATTATATTTTAGATCATATATCTACAAAACAAGAAAGCATCCTATGCATAATTGTTCCGATGAACTTTTACACCTTAAACAATTGTTGCCGTATCTGAAGGAGGGATGGCGAGTTAAGAAGTAGCATCGTGAAAATTCATTGTCAAGATAAAAGAAAGAGCCCTACAATTTGGAGTAAGAGAGTTACCGGAATAAATTAACATGTGTGTCCAGATTCGATTATAACAAGAGAAAATGGAACTATAGAGCTCAATAGTGAAGCTATGTGGTAGCAGGGGTAGCACCCCCAGCCTTGGAGAAAACTCTGAAGATTTTCTTTGAAGGCCTTAGATGAGGAAAAACAGCTTTCCCAATCATCTTCATTTTGTGGTGTTTCACACCCTTTGGCTTTGTTCTTTCTCTAGCCTCACCATTCTCTTTGCACTTGGAACGCACTCACTTAAAATCTTGCATTTAGGAGACAATCTCACTTGGTTTCGAGAATGCATATCCATTACAAAGTGAGAAGTTTGTAATTTTTTGCTAAGATCCAAATTCTTTATGATTTCCTTTTTCCATTCATTTCTTTAATTTATTTTCTTTTGAAAGTGATATATTGTCCTTCAGCTTATGATGTTCGATCAAACAAAAAATATAGTGTGATTTCATGCTTGTGCCACATACTGGTCTGTTTGGTTGGTGACGTGAGCAGTGTGCCTGAGAAAACTAGACGCGTGAGAGTAGCCGGAGATTCTTGCGACTTTAGCCTGACGAGGCAACCTAGGTCAAATATTGTTTGGGTTGTGCCTGAGCGTACCTAAGCATGATGCCATAAAAAATGATATCAAGCATTGATTGCTACATGCATGCACCCATCAATATGCTAGAATTCGTTTAGCCGGCATATACCAGCTAGGCCCGCGCTGGAAGAAAATAGCCCATTTGATTACCCGTATTCATTGTTGGGCCTGCATAGCACAAACTTTAAAGGACCTTTAGGCCTACATCTAGAGGAACGCTTAAATCGGTCGTTTTTTGCACCCATGCCCGAGTGATGCAACCCTAGGCACGTGGGCGTGGGCAGTTGCACGTATGGATGCGAATGCGATCTCGAGAAGTTGCATTGTTTCCCGAAGCATCGTCATAAATTACCCTCACCTCCCTTCCTCACCGCTCTCCCCTCTTCCCCACTCACACTGGCAGCAGCGACCACCGGAGCGATAACAGGACGATCCAAGACGGTGGCTACCACCGGAGCGACTACAGACCTCCACCGGAGTGTATCGGCCATGGCGGTAAGTCCTTGCACTCTCTCTAGATTTACTGCTTTCGACTCGGGCTAGATTTGATTTGAGCACGTGATTGGAGTGTTAGAGAGGGGGTTGAACACATTGGGGGTGGAGGATTGTATTAAAACACCGCCGTCCATTGATTCTGCACCAATGGCTTCTAGGGATCATAGGTCATTTTTCGATTACATCGGGGGTGGAGATTGGGGTACAGACTTCCTTGTCTATCCGCGACGACCCTGGAGTCGCGTCGAGCGGCGGCGGGGGGCGGGGGGCGTAGCCATCTTCTTTTCTTCCTCATCGTCTTCGTCAAGAACGATGGGTCTTGCACGGTCGCCTGCTGCCGGCGCCCTGGCCACCATCTGCACCTCATCGTTGTCGTCCTCCGGCGACACGAACGTGCTACTCTAGTACGCCGCGACACGCTGGTCTTGAGGCGCCTTATACTCCCTGTACTTGGCCCATCTTACCCTATGTCCAGCGTTGCCGGAGTCTACCTGATTCATGGCCAACGTAGGATGTCCACTAAAATTGTGCCCTTGGTTGGGTCAGGAACAGTGTCTTCAACTCATCTGGCATAGCCATCTTAATCACAGCGTCGGCCTCCTTGTGCATGTCATCGATGCTGTTGAAGTTCGAGCTCACTTCCATGGTGTACTCGAACTTCTTACAGGCACAGAGCGAGCACCTGAGGAAGAAGGCCCTCCATCCAATGCCCTAGAGGAAAGGGTTGGGGTTGTAGTTGGAGTTCATTTCGAGGGAGAGGTGGTGAAACAAAGAGGAGAAAGAGGAGAGGTGGTGAAACAGAGAGGTGGAAGAGGAGAGTTGGTGAAACAGAGAGGGTTTGAGTGCGGTGTTGGGTTAGTAGGGTGGGTTAATATAGGAGAGTTAGGCCAATATGAATGAATGCTGACCATTGACTGTGTGTTGTTCATAATGCAAATGGACAAGGGCAAGGTGGTCGTGCCACCAGTGGAGAAGGGCAAGGAGGTCGTGCCGCCATTGGTCGACATGCTGGTGCAGGATCACCCAAGCACCAAGCAGAGGAACTATGGGCACTACCATGAGTCAGGACCAAGCACTTCTACAAGGTTATCCTTACTCCAAAGCGGGAGAGTTTGCCAATGCCTCTGGAGTTCACGAAGCACTTCCCCGACCTCCCTATAGAGTTCAAGCTCAAGACGAGCACCGGTTGCGCATGGAGGGTGACGGTGAGGGTGGTCAACGGCAGGGTCACCCTTGATCAAGATTGGGCCACCTTCGCCGCCGTTCACCAGACCATGATCGGGTACATGCTGACGTTCAAGTTGCTGACCCCTGACACCATGAAGGTGATCGTCTTCAACGACGAGTGTCGTGGTCCTAAGCCTGACAGTAGAGTGGGGGGTAGGTATGGAGAGGCAAGGTCCTGGCTACGGAGAGGTTGTAAGCACAAAGGATGTACGAGTTCAGGCCCTTCTCGGAAGAAGCAACAGCCCTACGTCTCGGAGCCCGGAGGCGGTCGAGTGGATTATGAATGTATGGATTACAGGGTGCCGAACCCCTCTGCCTGTGGAGGAGGGTGGCTTATATAGAGTGCGCCAGGACCCCAGCCAGCCCACGTAGGAGAGGGTTTAAGGTGAGTTAAGTCTGGGGCGTTACTGGTAACGCCCCACATAAAGTGCCTTTACTATCATAAAGTCTACTTAATTACAGGCCGTTGCGGTGCAGAGTGCCTCTTGACCTCCTGATGGTCGAGTGAGTCTTCGTGGTCGAGTCCTTCGGGCCAGTCGAGTGAATCCTCGTTGGTCGACTGGAAGGCGACCTTTTCTAGGGATGTCCTAGGGTAAGTTACTTGGAACAGGTCCATGACCCTACCCTAGGTACATAACCCCATCATTAGCCCCCGAATGGATTGAGGCTTCGAGTGAAGAAGGCGTTGATGTCGTTTTCGATTAACCTTTGCGCTCTAGTTGTGCGCTGTTCTGGATCAAAAATCTCTTCGTTGACAGGGAGCAATTTGTCTTCGGTCGACTCGATCCATTCTATTTTTGCGTCGAGTGATCTTTCGAGCTTCGACGATCTCCGAGCGACGGATCGCCGGAAACACCGCGTCTGACAGACTGATTTGTTGCTCGCGGATTCCGCGGGGTGCGAAATTTGGGGGCGCGCGCGAAGCGGGGCAGACCGTGGCGTTCGGATGGGACGGGGCATAGACGCCTCGATCTCCGCGCCGCCTTTTTCGCCACGTATCCAGTCCTCATAACTGCTCCCAGATATGATTAGATCGACCGAGCCCACATGTCAGCCACTCGGAAGAGACCTTATAAATGCGCCCGGCGGGGATTTCTGTGCTGCGCCTCAGCATTCTCCCTCTCTCCCTCTGCCTCCTTCCTCTCTGCTCAGCGCGCTCGCTCTCACCTCCGCACCACTTTCCTTCGCGCATTTCGCCGGCGACCATGGCCAAGGAGAAGACGGCGGCGCTGGAGCGTGCCAAGAAGGCGTCGGCATCGGAGAAGGCGAAGGGGAGATCCACCACCCGCAGGGGGTCCTCGTCCAGATCCCGCCTGCCGAAAGGCTGGGTCCAAGGAGACTGGATCCAGTCGAC